TCAGACAATCGCCGCTCGCCCACAACGGGTTGAAGCCCAGGAAACGGAGAGAAGACATTGCACCCCCCCGCTGAAGGCCCCACCTCGCCCGACGAGTGGGAGACTCCACCAGGTTGTCCTCCTGGCGGCGCGGCAAGCGGCGCTCTGTGCGCAAGCAGCTCGGACCGTTTGGAGGAGGAGGAGGAGGAGGAGGAGGAGGAGGAGGAGGGGGAGGAGGAGGAGGAGGAGGAGAGGGAGGGGGAGGGGCAGGGGGAGTAGGACGAGAGGGATGGAAGGTGGAGGAGGAGGAGGAGGAGGAAGACCAGTATCAGGGGGAGGGGTGCAAGAGGAGGAGGGAGGGAAATGGGAGGAGGACAAACTAGGTGCCCTCGCGCCATACCTGACACCCCACTTATCTCACCGAGCCTTTTTTTTTCCATTGTGCGGTTAGAGGAGGAGGAGGAGGAGGAAGAGGAGGAGGTGACGGATGAACAAAAGAATGAGCAGAGGAAGGAAGAAGAGGACGAGCACAATCTGCAGAAGCTAAAACTGGAGTGGAAGGAGCGGGAGGAGAGGGAGGAGCAGGAGGACCAGGGGAAACGGATGAGGGGAAAGCCTCCTCCCCCTCGTCCTCCACACACCGACGCTGAATACATAAGAGATGTTATATACGTAAGACATGCAGGCACGCAAACTTACGACATACAGTACAACACGCGGGGAGACAGGGGGGCGCGCCACTCCCCAGCCACAGCGGGGGGAGAGGGGAGGGCGTCGGCGGAAACATAGCCGCTCTGGCGGCTATGTCCTCGCCGTCGCCGCCCCGTCGCCGCCTCGCCGCTGGAACCACATAGACTCTCCTTGTTTCAAACGAATTCGGATCGACCGCCCTTCCCCCCCAGACTTCTCACCCTGCGTAGGGATTGGCACTGCATACGAATCTGCCGAATCGCTAATGTGTTACAAGAGAACAAACTATCCCAGTTCGGCAAGTACTCCCCCTCATCCTCGTCAAGTGATATTATGCGCGCACTCGTTCTTCAACACCAAAAACTTCCCTACAGCCTCTTGCAACGACATTTCACGAAGTCCACACGCGTTTGTTTTCGCGTGCGCATGCCGGAATCCTTGTTCGACACGAGTTCAACATCGATGTTCCCGAGACACGTAAAGGCAGATGTTGCAGCATGGTTCTGTACCGAACCAAACAAAAAACGCCCCTGCGGGCTGTGTAGATGGGGGGATGGGGGTGGGGCGCGATCGTCGTCAAATGTAATCACGCGGGCCAGTCGAACCCGTCGGCTGGGCGCGGATGCCGAAGTCCTGCCAAAATCCTTCCACAAC